GTTCTCAGTCACATAAAAAAAATCATTCTACCATTTTCCCACAGTACTGTCTCTGGTGTCTCCCATCAAACTCCTTAACTGTTCCCGTGGCTGATGGAGAAGTAATTTAATGACCTAAATCTGGAGATTTTACAGGTGTGTGTTTGGACTTCATTTTACTTTCTGTTCACGTACCGGAGATTACTGCGCACTCTCATGAAATGATTTATTCCGTCATAACTTTATTTTAATGCTCACCATATTTTTGAATACATTAGTCTGTCTAAGTGACTATGTCATCTGTCATTCTGTTGTGGAACTTTTTACTAATGTTTTATTTCTTTGCCAAATAAATTAGTGTCATATTTGTTTCCAGGCAGACGTAAGATGGCAAAGCCTTAGACGTGTAGGTCCCTGAAGGAAAAGTTCACAGAGCATCTGCATTCCTTTGGGCTATAAATCTGGCCATATTACCCACTACTCTATTTTTTTGAAAGCTGGAGTCTAGCAGAGGATACAAAAACATAATGTTAAATCAATGGGAGACCCCCAAACAATGTACCCTGATGCCCGTCCTACACACACACACACACACACACACACACACACACACACACACATTGCTGGCATCATTCCTACTTCCTAGACTTTCTATCATGAAGACCCAAGTTTATACGAGTAACAGATGTTTATTTATTTTTGTGTGTTTGTGTTTTTATGTTTATGCCATGGCAAGACTGTGGCGGTCAGGGGGTAACTTGTGACAGTCAATTTTTTCCCTACCAAGTGGGTCCTGACGATTGAACTCAGAATGTCAGGTTTGGCCACAGCCTTTACTCTCTGAGCCATGATTTTTCAAATAATTGATGCGATTTCATGAAATTATTTCAGATTTTACTTACTCTGTTCAGAGTGGATTCAGCCATGATCTGGTAAAGCATTTAATAAACAATCAGGAAATTGTTGCAGATTCAACTCAATGAACAACACTGCTTTGCAATGCATTGGCTTACTCCACACCAGCACTCCAGCCAGAGGTGAGCAGTCAGCCCTAATAAAAACCACAACCAGAATCTCGTTTTCTTTTGTGTTTCTGATCAGTTGGAAGCTATGTTGCCATCTACCAAATTGCTCAGGCAGAAAACCAGAGGTCGGGGTGTCTATGCCTGAGGACAGGAGGAGAAGCAACTACTGCTGCTGACATCTTAATTTCCTTGAATCCATTTCCTTCTTTTCTCATTTGTGGCCATCATCTTATTCAGGAATCAATAATTTTTGACGTTCTGTGCTATCCTCTTAGGTCCCACAATCTTTATGGTGTGACCAGAAAAACTGTTGTGAAATTCAAATCCGGACACATACACCCCTGGATCTCTCACTCAATACCTTCTCATCCAGGATAAAATAAGCTCTGTATTGAAAATCCTCCCCCTCTAGCTTTCTAAGTCTCATTTATTATTACTCCTCCTCATTCAGTGTAATCCTGCCTGTAAGAGGGATTCGTTCTACTTCTCTGATGGAGGAAATGATGATCTGTCTATGTGTTACTCTCATTGGTTAATAAAGAAACTGCCTTGGCCCATCTGATAGGCCAGCCCTTTGGTAGGTGGAGTAGACAGAACAGAATGCTGGGAGGAAGTGAGGCAATCGCCATGCCTCTCCTCACTGGGTCAGATGCGATGGACCCAGCCACCAGGCCAGACATGCTAAATCTTTCTCGGTAAGACACCACCTCGTGGTGCTACACAGATTATTAGAAATGGGTTAATCAAGATGTGAGAGTTAGCCCATAAGAGGCTAGACCTAATGGGCCAAGCAGTGTTTAAAAGAATACAGTATGTGTGTTGTTATTTCAGGGCATAAGCTAGCCAGGTGGCGGGGAGCTGGGCGGGAACGCAGCCCGCCGCTCCTTCTATACTTCTCTAATATAACCACCCTCTTCTTTCTTTCCTCATTGCCCAATTGTCCTGTTATCAAATTGCTGTAAATGTATTTATGTTTATACCTATTGATCTGTGCTGCTCTCACCCTACCAGGCTCAGAGATGTTTCTTTTCCTTTGGACAACAGCTAATGCAAAGACTCATAACTGATCCAAGGGTTGAGAATAAGCGGCTGTGAATGCCCAGCCATAAATCTGACTTCTATATCCCACACACCACTGCTCAAGGAATGTTGCTCAAGGGAGAGGGCTTGGAAAGAGCCAGAAGATGTGGGGAAGCTCTGGAAAAGACTTCCGGATGTGGGGTGACCAGTGTTATCACAAACTCACAGGAGTACAAGACTCACATAAGATCAAGCTAGTCAAATTTTCACTCCAGGTGGGGGAGGTGCTCCTGAGGCCCCACCTCTGACTGGCAGGTTGTTGGCAGTTGATAGTTTCTGGGAGAGGAAGAGTCAGTTTTCTTCAAAATTGTGGACTCTGCAAGGTTGCAAGTCTCCAGTAGATGCTCCCATAGCCCCGCACATATGGGCAGGCCTAATGGTACTTAGTGTATTTTACACACACACACGCACACATGCACAAGAGAAGAGGACAAGAAGTTGGTAGGGAGCACATTACAGCCATTCTGGGGCAGTTGGAATATGGGAAGGAGAGGTGAATATAATCAAAATAGATTTTATACAAATAAAAAGCTTTTATTAAACTTGTTTTATTGCCAGGATTCAGAATCATGAGCCACGGAACTTGTAGAGAGGTGTGTTTTATGCAGGATTTGCTTCTTGAAGTATGCTAGTCCAGCCAAGCACAGTGATTTGAAAGTTACCATTTTAAAGTTAATACATTTTTAAGTTAATGCAGTGACTTCCACCAATAATCCCATTACTTAGGAGGCTGACTGGAGGATTGCCACAAGTTTTAGGCCAACCTGAAACACAAAGTGAGTTGTAGGCTAATTTGGGTGACAGGGTCTCCCTCTGTCACAAACAAGTGAACACACACCCTCAACCAAAAACAGAAGAAGAAAACTAAGGAAGCAACTTATGAACCATTAGAAGATGTTCTTAGTCCAGCAGGTCATTCTCAGTTCATATACAACAGCTTTTCAAATATATTATTGAAACATTTTATTGCTTGTATCTATTATTGCTTGTTATTTTCATATATCATTGTGTTACCAAGCACCCCTAAATGCAGTAAACCCTTACACTGGTCTCATCCAACTTACCTGCATGTATTCTCCCCGCCCCCTTCAGATCTTGTGTCATTGGAAGTCATGTTCATTTTAGAGGGTGGTTGTACATGTTGTCCTTTGATTTAGCCACCCACTCCACAAACACTTCTTAAGTTCCTACTATGTGCCATAGATCATAGACCTACTATGTACCATAGCTTCCACTGTGTTCCAGTAATTTTTGCAGATGTTTGTTTTGCAGAAATGAATAAGACAAAGAAAAATCCATCACTTTGCAGAGCACACCTTGTAAAGGTCAAGCGACACCATATTAAAGGTGAATAAATTACATATGGCACTAAATAAAGCAAAGGATTAATATTATTTAATGCAAAAAAGTGGAGACCTATTTAAATTTAGAGATTAGAACCTTGTTAGTCCCAAGACAGTACTGGGGAACGAGCTGGAAGAGTATTAGGGCATAAGCAGTGAATGTCTGGGCGAAGAACTGAAAAGAAAAAATGCTGGAGACAAGTCTCCGAAGCTGGTAGCCAGTGTGTGGCAAGATTAAAGATATTCAGCAGGAAGAAATTAGCCAGAGGAGGGTAGAGCACAAAGATGAACTACTTACATCACCACACCATTCATGTAGGCTTCATAAGCCCTTACATACAGTAGCCCTTATGTTGAACGCGGTGGGGAGGCAGTCGCTGAACACTTCCTGAAGCAGAGGAGCTTGTTCCGATTTAAAGGATTGTCCTGGCTGCTGGAGTGACAGGTACTGAAGAGCTGTGAGGCCCAAGCAGGGTACTCAACCGAAAGGCAATCATGATGCAACTGGGAAATGCTGGTGGTTATGACCTGGGTGGTGATGGTGGAGAGGTGTGGCCTAGCTGGGGTAGAAACACAGGCTCTGATTTGGATACGCTCATTTGAGCGCTTACGTCCAAGCAGGTAGACTGAATAGGCAAAGGAGACATACTTGTTTGGAGCCGGGGGAAGGAAAATTTAACATTTCTCAAAAAAAAAAATCACCTTTCAGTGATAATTAGATGTGAGGGAACAGAAAGAGACCCATCTGGTCAATTAATTTTAAGCATACCTATTGTATTCTGTAGGCCTTAATGGTCTTTGGGACAGCATACAGTTTCCTAGAGTATGCTCACATAATTTCCTCTAAATTTTGTTAATTTGGAGGCTTAAAAAAAAAAAAAACAAGTTGTAAATGGGTAAAAAGTGGTTCTGAAATTTGTCTTTGATCTTCGTGTAAACAATGCCCTTGTGAAGAAATTAATATCACACATGTGATAACAAGCTGCTAAATTCATTTTATGAAAATACTCTCTGTTCTCTTGGAAGATTCTGATAACAAAGAGCCATAGGTTATAACAGTTACAGCCATGATCATCTAAATCTTTAAATATTCTATTATGGACTGGCAAGATGGCAAAGCAAGCCAAGGGATGACCTGACTATCTGAGTTCAAACTCACATCGTGAAGCAGGCTCCCACACATTGTCGTCTGAACTCTACATGTGTATGCGGGGCATGGCACGTGCACACCCACGCACATTCAGACATACAAAAATAAACATATAATAAATGTATACAAATTTGAATAGACAATACCATATTGTTAAAAACACTTGTGGTTGTATTGTCATTGTGACTGAAGGACTGACGATTCCTATGCACAACTCACGTCTTCACAAACCAGCCGCTTTCACATGTTCAGTAGCAACATTTACTGTATTATAATTCATTTTTGCCTTCAATGAAAACTCTTCAGCATAGGCATAAAAACAAACACTACATTCTGAGACTGAAATATGAATTCCATCTGACTTAGAAGCACGGAATACATGAGCATTAAAACTCTACAAAAAGGAATCATGAAGAAAATGAAAACAGTTGCAAAGGTATTTATTGAGAAATAGTAAAGATGTACATATTTTTACAAGCTTTTAATATTAATTTACACTTTTTAAATTACGTAGGCCCCAATAATCTATAACTTTACTAATACATAACAGAAACCCTTGACTTCGACTGTGAGATCCCTACAACACCACCATAATTGGGAGTCAAAATGCAACTTTGGCTCATGATGCTTACGTTTGTGTTGAAAAGAAAATGCCATATTCACAAACAAGTAGGCTTCATTAAAACTTCACAGTAGGGCATGCTGTTGAAGCTATTTTGATCTTAGCTCACCAGACAGTTAGTACCTATTTTTGTGCACAGACCATACAATCTTAAAACCTTATTTTTTTTTAACCTCAGAATTGGGTTAACACATTTCTTTGAGTTTTATCATTTTAGATGTGTGCTATAATATTATAGTCAGGCCACCTATTTTATTACTCAAGTGATAGGGTCTTGATATTTTTAAGGTGCAATATAAGGCAGTTCTTGTTTTTCTAATATCATACCACGTTTGAATATGTAATAGCCCAAACCCCATCTGAGTTGGAGAACAGTTTTCAAACTCATTTACAGCAAGGCACAGTATTTTACACAAAAACAGAATGTAGGAACTGCCCGTGGGGCTGCTTTCTTTATTGTTGGTTGTCTGAGGTTATGTTTTTCTTGGTTTTTTTTTTTTTTTTTATTTTTTGTTTTTTGTTTTTCAAGAAAGAAAGAGGATTTTCCTGTCCTAAGGTGGGAAGGGAAGAGTTGTAGTCTGAGCTTGCTCAAAGTCACATGACCAGGCTGGGCCCATGGCTTTCTAGCTGCTACCATTGCTGGTGTTGCACTGGCTGTCTCCTCTGGACAGATACTCTGGGGGAGGGGGCTGGGGAGGAAGAAGTATGCCAGCAGCCAGCCCTTGGAGTCCTTGGAAAAAGGGGAGTCTGTCTGGCCCTCAAGTGGAGCAGTGTTAGAAGCCTTGTTCATCAGATTCTAAGGAGAATTAAAACTTTTGATGCAGGGCCACAAGTCTAGCCATGAGAGAAACTGGCTGTGTGCCAGACTAACTTCATTTTATCATAGTAATAAATATTTAATGTTTAAACTCACAAATGAGTACTGGTAATAAAAAATAGTCTTTAACCTTTTAACCATTTTCAAGCTGAAGACCCTCAGAAGTGTAAAATTTACTGTTAATATTATTAGGATTAAAATATTCCCATCATAATTAGCCACTATAGCATTATGGGAAAAGGTAGCCAAAGCCACATTTAATCTATGAGGATCGTATAAGGATTCCCTATCTTCTGCAGAATTATCTCATTATCTTTCTACCCCACACAGGGCCTCATCATTCTCTAAAGAAAGACAGCTCTCCCTCCAGAGCACTCATTGTGATGTTTGAGCAAACCATTTATCTTATTTGAGTTGCAGAAGTCTCGGGCAATGAGCTGTCATGAACTAGCTTCAGACGAGGGGCACTAACAGCTGGACTCTGGGGTCTATCTGACACCGTTCAGAGTGCAGAGCTTCAGGTGTTTACACCATTAGCATATTTTACTTCTTGAAGTCATGAATTTCCACAAGGCCAACCATGTCATAGCCAATGAGAGAATCTGTATCATGTCACCAACACGGGCTACACACCAGCAAAACAAAAAGACATGCAGACACAATGATGGCAGGCTCTCCCGGCAATGAATGCAGGCCTTGTTCGGCAACCATACCAAGAGGAAACCAATGTATTCCTGTCTGTAAATGGGAAGACCCTGGACTGATGTGTTCCAAGGAGAGTTAATCCCCTTTGCTGTTGATATCTGGTGATGTTGTCAAGACCTAGCTTGTCTGATAATGAATTTATGATGATATTCTATAAAAAAATTCATAGACTCAGTGTTTTTTCCCCCCTTGGGAGCTGTCTGATAGACCTGCCTTCTATCACTGAGGGTACTCGCTTTTGCAGTGGCATGGAAGACAAACGTATTCTGTCGTGTCCACTCAATGTGCATGTTAAGCTATAGCCATAGCATATTATAAACATGACTTGAAGGATATTTGCTAATGATTTGCACCATAATATCTTTCTCTAAGCAATTTACACATGTCCTGAATCTTAAATTGAAATCGGGTAAATTGACATGAATATGGCTCTTGGTTTTCTTCCAGAAAACTGTAAGAAAGGATAGTTGAGACATCAACATATATTTCACTTTAGAAATAAAGAATTCACTGTTTCCCAAACCTCTTGCTTATTGATGCTGAGATAGTTGACTCTTACCTATTACTGGAAATATTCAGAAGCCAAATAAGATGCAAGCCTTCTTGTATTATTACGATTGGTTTCTCATTCTAACAAATCCTCAGTTTGTTGATGATTCAGTATTAAAATGCCAGTCTGAATTTTAAATTTGGTCATGTCAAGGATTATTACCAAGCTTTTTGTTTATTTGGTTTTTTTTTTTTTGGTTTTCTGTTTGTTTATTTTGTCTTTCATTATCTACAGAGACTTTAACCAAAGTTACATTGTAACACACAAACGCTGTCTTGTCTTTAAGGCACAACGCATCAGTATGAACATTCTCTTTGCCAAACTTAAAAAAAGAGACAATATTATATTCCCATTTCCCTGGCCCTCTTCCCGCCCCGACAAAGAAAAGAACAATTGCATCCACTTTCAGAGTCAGCTGCTAATAAAATCACAGTAAATTATTTCCATCAATAATTTACACAAATTACAGGTCTAGATAGGACTGTCAGTATACAGTCTGAGTGCATTCAGATTCAGATTTTCTGGGCTAGGTAGGCTAAAAGTCAGATTCAAACCTCAGGGGTGAGAAGAACTCTCATTTTGAGGAATGTTTTCGACCACCTTGTCAGAGGCAGAACAGGTGCTGTGGTCTGGAGGGCTCGAGTTCTTTACTAAAGCTGTTAATTCCAGTTAGGACTCATTTGGTGGCTGTCAGCAACCTCCACAGATTTTTTTTTAAATCATGAAAGTATTGTAAAGATAATAAGACCATAGAGTTTCCTTTCTGCAGCACTAATGTTTAATTCCATCCAGCAACCTGAATTCTTCACTCTGGAGTTCTCATTCCAAGCATGATTTCCTCCTTTAAGACCATTTAGATGTGTAGAAGAAGCCAGCGGCATTGGATCACACATAAAAATTCAGTGTACTTGAAATATAAAAAAAAACCAATGGATCCCCAGCTAGAGAATACAGTTACAAATACTCTAATTCCAGTGCTTGATGTAGAGCCAAGAGGTCCGAGTGGCTTGATATCCTCCAAAAGGGCATGTTGTGCTGTGTGGTCAAGACAAGGGGAGAGGAGAGAGGGAGGGGGCAGGAACGAAGAATGGAGACAGATCACAACCATCATCCCATGGAGACAGCAGCGCACATCAGGGTGTGGTGTTCACCCGAATTCAAGGGAGGGAGTTTAATAGAGGGAGAGCCACAGGTGAAGGTCTGCTAGCTAGCACCAATGCGGAATTTTCTAAGAAATTGAGAAATAGATCTGAACTGTATTTTAATGTATAACAGTCAACACCATGTTTCCTACATGGTTTAATCTCTACGCTGTAAATCAGAATTACCAAGGTCAACACTGGGGAAAGCAGGATGATATAAAACTCTTGCATGGATGAGTGATAAACTCTCTATCAGCATACTACTTTTAAAAGTTGATTTCTTGGTTAGAAATAAGAGAAAATTAGACTATGATCTTGCTAAACTCAGAGGCCTTTGGTAATGTGAGGGGAAAAATGAGTGAATTTCTAACTGTGCAACAATTTGGAGCAGAACCAAATAAACATTGGAGTTGATAATATTCAACTTATCCAGGGTAATTAATAACTTAAGCCAGTATATGGCTTGATTTATTACACCAGTACAAGACTGAGAGGGAGAGGACTTAAACTTCCAGATTTAATGGGGACATACCATCCCCATGTGGATAGACGACTCTTAGATGGCACACTGGTTTGTGGCCTCCAGAGATGTAGTATGCACTACAGATGTAACTAACATTCAGGATTTACAGAGGAGACTGATTAGAAGTAATATCTGAGGAGACCTCATTGTAAATAATAATAAGGAAAAATATACTGTAGTAAATGACAAAACAATAGCATTACTTGCTATTTTGAACTTGAAACATCTTCTAGGACATATGTGAGGGGAATGTAGTCAATATGCAGTAGAAATATATATATATATATATATATATATATATATATAAAACGTATCTTATTTTAACATGAAAGTTTATTATAATCACGACTACTATGTAATTCTTTGCTGCTCAGTATGGTAACCACCACCAACATGTGGTTATGAATGCTTGAAATATGTTCAATCCAATTTAAAATACATTATGAATTTAAAAACCAGACTAAGGCTGACACAGGAATCTAGACATCATGTCAATAATTCCTATATAGACAAGGTGTAGCTATATAATATTTGGAACAGATTAGGTCAATTAAAGATACTATTAAAGCTGGCTCTACTTGTTCCTTTGGCTTTTAGAAAAATTAAAATTTATATATATGTCTCGTGCATCTTGAGAGGGGAGTGCAGTTATTGTTATTGTTAAGATTTGACCTTTTTTTCCTCTTTGATTTCACAAACACATGTTTTAGTTCAATTAGAGTAAAGAATTTGAGAAGGGTAACATTTTGCATTTCAGCTCAGATCTATTTGTAATAATAAAACAGTACTCAGTATATCTGCACATGCGATTACTTCTACGTTAAAAAAAAAAGCATGCATTCTGAACACTAGGGCAACCAGCCACCTGTGTTTCCAAATAGATTCACAGCTTTCACCCATCACCCAAACTACAACCACTTCAACAACCATTTGAAAACAGCATTCTATCCAAAGTTTGGATCCATTTGGAGTCAAGCTATATGCCCCTGCCGCTGAGAAGCAGAAGGCATCTTCATAATCTACCATCCCCAGTGTGGATAAACTAGCGTGGACTTGCTAACTCTTGATTCTGAAAGGCACACATTGTTTACTGGCTCATGCACTTTCCTAGTTCTGAGCAAGAGATCAATACATTTCACAGAGGTTGAAGACTACTCGTATTTGTCTAAGGGTCTGTTGTTTGTTATGTGTTATTGTTGTGCCAACCTGAAAAATTAAAACAACGAACTCCCATACAACAGACATTCATAAAGCCCAGAAAAGATGACAGCCGTGTGCGACTGAAACACCTCAAGGAGCAGGCAGCGGGGCAGGTTGGGTTGTTTGAGGCTGCAGGGCTGACCTTATACAGAATGTCCTTGGGACCAGTGTGCTGTCTTGAGTCATAGCCACTGCTAATTAACACTCAGGAAGTCCCATGTCACCAGCTCTTGTAACAGAATGGGAAAGCATGGGGACGCTAGGGGACAGCTGCCCAGGATGCCTGAAACTTTTTAAGTAGAACCCTTTCCCTTTCTTTAGTTTGCTGGGTTTGAGTTGACTGGATACATCAATCATTTATCTTTCTGTTATGCTCATAACGGAGTTTATGAACTTATTAAGCTTATTAATAATTAGAACTTTTTGTTCTAATTATTCTATAGAAAACAGAAATTGAGTCTATGCTGTGATATGTGTATTTGGAGGTTTTATTAGAAAGTGATTTAGATAGTCCGTATATGAGAAGTATAACATTCTCTTTATAAGCTAAAATGCCATTTATAGGTTTTTGTTTTGTGTTAAATTTTGTGGCCCTCCAGGGAAGGAAATAGAGGGCACGGGTTTGTGTTGGTTAGTGTGAAGAACAAACTTTATATCATTCCTCTTCTGATGCTGAAGCAAGCACTTAGTGATTTAACTACTACCCCAATTCCTCATCAGAAATATGCATCAGATTAAAAAAAAAGGCTTATTTAAATCAGTAGGGCCTATGAGATCGTCTGAATATGCTCAAAGCCAGCTGCTTGGCACTTAACTACCAGTGATTTACTGAAATACGTGACAAACTTCTAGATGGAAGGGACATTGCCAGTTTGACTCTAAAACAAGTTGGCACAAAAAGTATGAACAATGCACCGATTCCAACCCTGCTGACTAAGGCCTCTTAAGTTCCCTTTCAGCTATCAAGTCTGTCTTCAGTATTCATTATCAAGGAACCAATCTGTCTCCAGGCACTCACAGGAACATGAGGCATTTGAGAGTCGTGGGCCACCCTTGCTAGCTGTGTTATGAGTTTGTTAAATTTCTTCATCTGGTACATTTAATGAGATTTTTAAAAATCGTTCTCTATGTGCACTCGTGTGTGTGTGTCTGTATGTGTGTTAAATGCATGCTCTAAGTTTATGACTATATTTTTTATATAGTTATATACATGTGAATAAATATCAATAAATTATCCTGAATGTCCTAGCAAATTCCAGGCATAAAATGCTAGACTCCAAATGGTTTATTGGCAGGTCAACCTTGGCTCTCATGCTCTTATTGATTTGCATTTGTAAATGTCAATCACTTGTCAAGCTGCCATTGGGCCAGACTATAGGAACGCAAACAAAAAAAAGGCTTGCACTAGAAGTACCACACCAACATTGTTTGAGACAGGTTACCTTTTTCGCTGCCTGCTCTTCTTCTACACCATCCCCAATTACAACATATACTACTTTTCTGCCAAACCTTTGCATTATTCGTTCAAAGCAACTTTCTTTTCCTGGAAGATAAACGAGATAAAGTTCAGACCGGAATTACCTGCTTCGCCGCGTGCTCTTCATCTCGGCCGTCTCCAATCACAACGTAAGTTATGTTAGTGCCAAATCTGGACACTATACGTTCAAAACAGCTGTCCTTGCCTGAAAAACAATGCATGGCCTTATTCTTCCGGTCATGGCACTCACTAACCTAGAGATTCAGCAAGGGTCCAATGAATGCCTCTTGAACAATGTGTGAGGGAGCTTATGACCTCATGATCCCTGCATTTAGAAAGCAACAAACCCATTGCAGTAATATTGCTTTTTATTTAGGAGAGATCATTAAACAAACGCTTTTGATCGTCTAAGAAAGACAGTAGGCTTGAGAATTTGACCCTGATAAAAATGTTAGTGTGTTTTCAACTTCACCGAAAGAGCAGTGAAGCACCTTTTATGGGCAAATAAAAGTTCTACGGCATTTGTTTAATTCTAAGAACCAGTTTTATCTAATTTATCTTTTGGATAGGCAAGACAGTTGGAGAAAAATGAAGTCTTATCTCTAAGGAAATCTGTAACTAACAGATTTACCTTGATAAATGACTCCTTTAAACAAGTATGTGAGCACACATATAGTCAGATTAATTACATCAAGTGTGCTGTCCAACTGACCACAGCTGTGATTGCGCAGATTCGCTGACTGCACCCTGAGGTATGACTGTGGGGACCTTGCTCATGCCTTATCTTTACAACATTGGCATCTTTTCCCGAATCCCATTCCAAGAATGTTCTTGCAGTCATCACTACTTTTGACTTTTTTCTTCCTTAATCTGCTAGTTCAGGATGCTAAAACAAAAATTACTCGTGGCAAGGGAAAAACAATAATTACTGTCTTGGGTTCAATGGAACACATTTGGTCAATGGGAAGAATATTAACCTTTAAATAAAAGAAATAGGTATTTAGATAAAAATTATTTGTTCTGTCAAAAAGAAAAATCACATTCTATCTATCAATCCTACAAATATAATGTATGCATCTTCACAGAGCATAGTACGGGATTGGAGTCTAGGGTCTGATTTGGAACGCGCATGACAATGTGACATGTACTTTAAGAAAGTCTGGCTCTCCCTAACTGTTCCCCCCACATAGCTGCAATCTTCACAAGACTTAGAGCTAGCTATGATGGTGGGAGGTTTAGGATTTTGAACTTGTCAAAGTGCCAGCAGGTAATTTTGTTGCTTTTGGGGGCACATGGCATAACCTAGTTATTTTCCCAGGCGTTTCCTCCACAGACAATGGGATATATATCCTGCCTTCTTTTAACTCTATCAAAATGGCAGAACTTGATAAAGTTTTATTTTGAATGATAATTGAAAGTCAGACTCTGCAAACCATATTTGAAGATGAAGATGGCTCTGTAGATGTATTTTACCTAGGAAGCAGATTGTAGTTATTTGAGTCCTTCTGTATACTGGCAAGAAATGTATATTTCAGGTACACAAGTAAAAAAAATGTATATTTTGCTTTATGAAAAATTTTCACTTGTTCCTGAAGTAATTTTTTGATTGCTGGTAGAATTAATCTGAGGCTTCCCAATGATGCCAAAAGAGTATTTTTATTTTTAACCTTAGACCAAGACATAATTCCATTTTATAGTAATTGAACAATTAAGTAGTACGGTTAGTGCATGTATTACTCAGCTAATATAGTTAGAATACTGTATAAAATGGACAGAATGAGTTAGGATTACCTAAATACCAAGTTCAGCATTTTACAGCTAAGAGCTCTCATCAAATATACACATGCATCATGAATTATATGTGATTTTGTTATTCAAGGTGGTCCCCAATTTTCTGGATGTGTTAATGGAAAACTGATTAAGAGAGAATCATGCAGAAATATAAATATCGTTGTGGAACACTCCAAACACAGGTGTGACTACATTTCAAATAGTTCCCTTACCTATTTTCGTTGCACTGTAAATGTTCTCGATGGGAAAAGCACCTCCTAGGCTGTAGAGCAGGATCTTCGCCAGGGCCGGGATCAGCTGCGTCGTCGTTACCAAGACGTTTACACAGTTACTTCTACCAGGGAGGAAATGCACAGGTTTGCTTTCTGGTGGCAAATAACTTCCAGCAGTAAGATTGAAAATTGCCCCCGTTGTTTGTAAATGCTTGAGGAGGCCACCTCTTTCAGTCTTTAACCACCGGTGCTATCAGCCATCAGACTCTCCCTGAAGTGGCAGATAGTTAAGAACAATTCCCATAACCCAAGACCATTTTCTGACATTTAATGGCTCCATTGTGTTTGTCAGAGCAAGATTCTATTCAAAGTCCTTTAACTCTACAGTGATGAGGAGAAAGAGAAGTAAGGCACAGGCTTTGGAAGTTTGGAGAAGCGGTTTGACCGGAAGCTTCAGCATTTACTAAAGAAAATGTGATATTAGTAGCTGCTTCATCTTTCAAAGTTATCAACACTCTGTGACAGAACATTTGTAAAGGACAAAGACAAAAAAGGAAACAGAGGTATAAATATTAATTACATATTCAGAGATGGTTTCCATCTTCATTTGCAAATTTGTTTTTCCAGTAGGAATTATATATTATCCAAACAATTTCTTTTGTCTGTTATCCTCATATTATCTACAAGCAAACTTGCCAGTTGGTATAACATAATTTTTCAAAATAATGTTTAGATGAGTTTTGGTTTCTCATGGCTGTATATAATGCTATCTCAAGGTTTTTTTTTTGTTTGTTTGTTTTGTTTTCCTAAACCTGGAGTTACTTCTTTAGTGAATACCCACAGAACAAGGAAGATAGATGGTAACTCAAGAACTCTGACACATAATCCATCAAATAATTTGCTTTCCCTACATTTTTGGGTCTTGTTTAAATTTTAAATATGTGTTAGTGCTAAACTCTATGGACAATTTAGCAAGCTTTGTAGTCTCTAAGCAGTCTGGTTGTTGGCTTGTTCTGTTTTTTCTTTTTTCAGGCCTTTTATTTCTATTCATTTAATCATTTCCTAAGGTCACACAATTTTGAGGTGGCTTTAAGTTCTTTTATAAAAAATACATAAATGAGCTGTTGGTTCAGTTCTTGGAGAAATGCCCATGACGGTACACAATTTCAAAGTCCCGGGGTCCTTGACCTCTGCTTGATTAGTCGCAGTTTCAGACATGATACCGAAAGTTCCATGTCCAAGCTTTCGCTGTCAGACAATTCTTGCATAGAATTCATTTCCCTACCTGAGATTCTTACACATTTACTACAGACCCTCACCTTTCTAGACACAGAGTAAAATCTAACTCATTTTAGGCCCAACATTTCAAACAGTTGCAATGGACAAATTTGTTCCCCACTTGACCCTTCGGGCTGAATTCTTGGCAGTTTTCTCCTCTGTGCTGTTTCTACGGATCAAATTCCAGGCACTAACACACTGGACGCTGGAGACTTCATGTCTGTCAGAATTTCCATTAGAATTGTGACACCAAGAACTGAAGAGAATGTTCGTGCCTGCCCCAATCAACACAGGAAGCTAACGCAAGCCCCCATCACAAGAACTTTCTGTTGTTGGTGATGTTTCTGATCTTGCTACCAGAAAGGAATCACATGCCAGATTTGAAACACATAAATTTACTTTCATGTCCTAAATATATCAGGCTCTTCTTTCACTCTTGCAAACTTTTTAAGTATCTGATATCTGTCCGGACAGCACCTCTTTTTATGCCTGGCACACACACATGGGTTCACCTAAGTCAGAAATAACACTATACAATAAGAAAGAAGAAAGACTAATTTCACCACCAGCACTTTTTCCAAATGTATCCTGCTGAATTACTGTTCACAGAACAAAGCTGAAAAACAACTTGAAGTTGGTGTAATTTTGTTATCTATATCAAGTTGGTAGAAACACTGTGAAGACTTGCGGTGGTCAGCAGCTTCCCTATGCTTTCCTGGTACACTTACATGGTGCATACTACCCGTCAGACCTAAGCCACGCGTCTTTTAACAAGTCCTCTTTTAATTCTGTCATCGTCCTTTGGATGATTTGAATCCTTTGATGATCACAGCACTGCTTCCTTCTCATGACATATTATATAACTTTCCTGTGGGATTATCAGTGGTTATGATCACACACACACACACACACACACACACACACACACACACACACACATTGAAAAAAATCATTGGATGTGGTGAATTGCTAAGAATTGAAACAGTTTTGCTTTGTTATGTTGTTGGACTCAGATCTTCCATATAGTTGAAGTAGAGGGGCAACAATCCCACTTACCTAGTACTAATAATTGATAAAGACTTAAGTGCATTCGTTAGCCAGGAATCTGTTAGGCCTTCGATCTCTGCCCTTAATTGCAGCCACGCATCCCTCTTGGCAGGGCCAAGGAGTCCTGAAACACCAAAAAACAAAGTACAGTCAGGAGTGAACACTGTCTCTGTGATACAGAATTTGACATCTCTTCCGTTTACAAGAAACAGTTTTGATTTTGGTTCTGTTGTAAGTAAAGAGGTGCAGGCTTCTACCAACATAGATTCGTCCTTTTGGAGTCGACTACTCTCAATTCATTCAATGAATTCTTATTAGACAACACACTTGGCTAGTCATGTGGAGATATGACACATGAAAAACAGACCCCAGTATTTTCCCTCTTGCGGAGCCCGGAATTCAACACAATAGCTGGAAGGCTCAGCAACTTCTAGGCCCGAGTCTCCTGATGGGGCTGGGATGTGTCGGACCTGGAGGAACAGTGGGGTCCTTCCAGTCCAGGAACACAAATGTGGCACTTAAAAGTATTGCCTCTTCATAATTACAGTTCCATGTTGGAAAAGTATTGTCAGGATCAGTATGCAGCTGCTACGGTGCTTCTTAAACTTGTGCCTGAGCTTACTGATATTTCGTGTTTTAAAAGAAATTGATAGCTGTATTTAAAATCCCAAGGAGCACTATCCCAGCATAAGCAGCAGTGGTGGGAAGAAGTTGGCATGTTAAAGTTTAGTTCACAGAGATGTTGGGATATTCGCCAGTGGTGACAAGCATGCAAGAGGCTCCAGCACTGTACGAAAGGAAAAGAGGAAGGAGGGAGGAAGGAAAAAGGGAAGTCAGGCAGGAAGGAGAGGAAGAAAAAACAGAACAAGAAAAGAAAAAAGAGAAAAGCAAAGCCGCCCTGCTTTCATGATAAAATGAGATCACATGAACATCCATTCAAAAGGAAGGTTTCTCACTCAAATTGTATTTCAGCTAATGGGAGCAAATACGCGCCACATACAATAGGCACTTTTTAAAATTAAAACATTTACCTTCCAGAAAGTCTCATTTTTCTACATTCCAGTAAAAAGATGCTACTATCTGCCAGAAAATAAACTCTCACATCATTGATTTAAGTACCCAAGCCACAAGACTATATATTAACAGCCTTCTCAATTTTAAAATAATTTTAACAATACTATGCTGTAAGATGAGGGAAAGACACACAAATACTAAATGTTTCAGACCTCTCAAAGGGCCGCTTAGCTTTTTTTAAAAAAAAAAAAGGTAAATGTATTATTTACAATTGATTTTACTTTACAAAAGTGTCTTGTACAAAGCATTAGAATGATTTAGGAAACACAACCAGGAGCTGGAGCAGGGCTCAGTTATCTGTTTGGAAACAAAAGTCTTCCCTGTATACAATTTCTGTTGACTCAAATGTTCACATAGTCTGTGGTTCTGTCTTGCTCTTTTCATCTATTGAGTAGTATTCACTAAGCATTTAATGTGATTTAATGATAGAAAATATCGGGAAACAAGCACACAGCCCCATCCTCACGTCATCACTAACTCTTTCAATAATTATGGCTCTCAGCTTTTCACCACCCCTTCTTTGTCTTATTTTTATTGATAATATCAGAGCACTGCCGATGAAGCAGAATAAATATTCTGCTGGAAATCTTGGTAGAAAACGGGGTTTCTCACGGAATAGCCAAGTCCTTTTACGGGGGTGCATTCAATTTTCTCCTAGTAATTCAAAGAAAGCAAAAATTCAGGCTCGGCACTTTTCAAGGCGAGCCTTTAGCTGATTTGTTCTCCAATGGGTCAATCTCCAACAGGAAACCACAACCCAAATTCTACCTAGAGCCAGGGTGCCAACACCGGATGGAGTCGGCCGCACGTACCTCCGACATTGTTCTTGTATGTGTTATATAATTCCTTAACTCTTCTGTAGCGAAAAGCCAACTTCCTCATCCAGTCCACTCCTCCTCTCACACCTGTTGGCAAACAAAGGTTCGCACTACTTGCAGCTGCATGGAAGCCATCAGTTGCAAAACTGTAGGTACTGCAGCACCCGAAATGCATCGAAAAGAAACAGAAGAAATAATTACGTGTGCAAAACTCCGCGGCTGAATTTCTGTAGCAAATGGAAGATTGAAAGGCATGGCTTACCTTAAGTCCTGACCGTTGTCATCTGAGGAAACATCATCTATGTGAACTTGATCACACTCCTGGGAAAAAGGAGAGAGCAGACAGACATCACCAAACACATCTACCACCGGAAAGTTTAACCACCATTTCATGGCATCACACTATGGCCACGAGATGGCAGCATGGGCCCATCCATCCCTTCTTCTAAGGCTTGTTTTCTCGTGTGGGTTAATAGCCCCACTTCCTTTCTCAGATCTAAATCCAGAAGGGTCACATCAAGCGGTCTGCAAACTTATAGCACTTTGAAAAATAAGTTTAATCTTAACGTCATTGAGAAGAAGAACTCTTGAATCTTTGAGATCAGTGTCCCCGCTACTCTGAAAATACACAATGTGCCATAGGTCTGAGCATATCAAGTAGTCACTATTATTTATTATTTGCTTGGTGGCAAAAAAGGGGTCTTGACCTCAGAACATGGCGTCCTGTGAGCTTTCCAAGACTTCCTGCTTTTTGCTAGAGTGTTTTTTTTTTTTTAAACTTAAAGTCATGGTTTTCTGATACAGAACAAAGGTAGTAGCCATAGGAGCTGACATTCTCTTTTCATCAAGCTTTGAAAACATTTTTAAATTTTCATGAATACAAGTAAAAACAGTTAAGATTTACATACCAAATGCGCTCCAAACCCTAAGGAAAATAAACTTGGTAAGGATGCTCATTTTGGATCTGATTTCAAGTCAGCGTTTCTAAAAGCAAATCGTGGCTTCCACATAAGAACTGGCCTCTTCGAGGCTCTAAAAATCCTGTTCTGTGTTTAAATAATTTCAAAGTTCCTGTAAAACCGTATATGATTTAAGGTGAAATTGGCTGGCTTGATTTTAAACCTAGCCCTCAGAGGAATAGGTCCATGGTTAATAGTTGCAAATGATTACAATTCACAATAAATCAATGAGGGGTGTGTGTGTGTGTGTGTGTGTGTGTGTGTGTGTGTGCATGTATGAGTTTTGCAGGAGATTGAAGTCAGACTCTTGTAGAACCTTGTATATGTTATGCAAGTGTTTTGCTACTGAGTTACAATCCCAGCTTTTGAGCCTCTTGTATTTCCTTTAGATTATTAATATACCCACTGATTTTGATGCTACACGTAGTGCTTATCATTCAAAAATCAATTTAAAATGATCAAATTTGAAAGTGTGCCATATTACGAAAGACTCTCTACTTTGAATTTGTTATAGATGTGGAAGTGTCTGTCTATAACCAAACACTGAATGCCTAGCCGTCAGCCTTTCAAAGAACATATTTATCACATTTAAGTTGACTCGGATTTCTTTGCACTTACAGAACTGGAGGGTGAGGGGATGGTTCAGCCCCAGGTAAAGAGCATGCTGCTGAGCCTGATGACCTGAGTTTGACCCTAGGAGCCCGTAAAGTGGAAGGAGAGAACCAACTCCTGTGAGACGTCCTCTGACTTCCACATGTGTATGATGTGCATAGTTTTCTTCCCGAAGAAAATAAAATAAATGTGAACTGAGCAAACAATAAAACACAAAACTAGGTGGCAAGCTCAGTCAGTAAAATTTTGGGATATAACTTAGAAATGTAGTTGGGATGGAGAGATGCCTAAGCATTTAAAAGCATTCGCTGCTTTCCCAGAAGACCCAGGTTTAGGTCCCAGCACTCCCATGACAACTGACAATACCCTCTTCTGCTGCATACACATGCGACCCATACATGCATGCAGGCGAAATAACTATAAACATAAAATGAAAACAAAAAAATCTTTTTAAAAAACTAGGTATACTTATTTTAATAGTTCATAAGGTTTACACAAATTATGGGATCAACAAGTTTTGAATAAATCTCTACCTATGTTCATATGTAAGGGCTGAGAACAATTATTCTTAATAGAGATCATCTGACGGCACTTCTGGGAGAGATAATCTGGATACAGTGATTTTCCGAGGCATATTCTAGAGGCAGAAAATAAGCAATCCAGAAATTGGGGAATGAAAGAGCTGAACGCAAAACTTAAGAACGGGAAGGAGGGGTAATATGGAAAGGGAAATATGCCGAAAGTACATAATATGCTTGTTTGAAAGTGTCATTATGCAATCCAGTACCATGGGCAATGAATAGTCAGCTATAAACATAACTCCCAGTTAAAAAGCAAAAGAATTGCTTCTTAAATACACAGTAGAAGTCGAGACAAATGATAGTAACCGGTAGAATTGCCACAATCATTTCAAGTTCCTGGCAAAAAGTCTTAGTGACATGAATTAATAGCCCAGATGGTGAGGGTTGTGGGAAGATGTGGATGCCATGGGTTGAGGGAGAAGAAAAAGGACAGACTAGGATAGGAATTGAGGCTGCCTGAGCTATGCTGTTTGCCTTTTTTTTCATTTATTAAAGATTTCTGTCTCTTCCCCCCCTCCACCGCCTCCCATTTCCCTCCCCCTCCCCCAGTCAAGTCCCCCTCCCTCGTCATGACATTTAGTTGAGAAGGATGCAGGCTATCCTGTTATGAAAGGAGGCATTGCACCTCCAAAACAAATCAGATCCAAGTATAGTAAGTTGCTGCACTGGGCTTTAAAGTGATCTAAACAGTTAGCACGGCAGCTAGAAAACTTAATTTTCCCCAGAATATGGGGAGGCACCAGAGTAGTCCAAAATGACCTAAGTATTTCTTCTTCAGACACGGTAATATTCTCTAATTAAATAAATGTTAATGTGTATGAGTGTTTTGCCTGCATGAATATCTGTGGAACACATGTGTATCTGGTACCCTTTGAGTCCACAAAAGATGTTAGATCCCATGGAACTGGAGTTACAGACAGTTGTGAGCAGCCATATAGGTCCTGAAAGTCAGATCTACGGAAGGGCAGTTAGTGCTCTTAGTCACTGAGTCATCTCTTCTAGCTCAGACATGGTGAAATTCTTGGGAGGCATTTAGGTCGAAATAAATGTCTGACGCTCCTCACTCCATTGAACTGCCAAAATTTTTCCTCATATAAATAATCTCCATGTGTCTCTTATGTAATAAACTTATTTAAATTCCCCAAAATGAGCAAAGAGATTTTTGTGAGTTCGTCCAACCACCAGAAGTTATTTCTTGAATACTTTTTGATTTTAATTTTTTGAAAAGCTCCCCTGACGTTTCAAGTATTAAACTCACATGATTAATTTGTACATAGCTTGCCCCCAAATTCATTTTTTACTCTTGAGGACAACAGTATATCAAACTTATTGGACCGTGCACTCTGTATTTGAAGTTAAGTTTGAGGGTCTTCCAAATCTAACTCTCTTTAAATTTATGCTTCGTAACTCTCTGTGTTGACTCTGGACAGTTGCCCGAGGATTACGGTCCAGTTAAAGAAACTTGAACTTCAATTACTTAGATTTTTAAGGGAAAAGATAAATAATTGTTCATCAACTAGCTTTTACTGTGAGGAGCCATGCAGGGATCATTTTAATCCACACCTAAAATGCCCCCTCCAAACATCCAAGAGCTTTGGTTTTGAACATAGCTTAGCAAAGACCTCAAATGTTTGAAATAATTCTGGTGTTAATCATAAATGCTTTAAATTTGTCTTATAAGGGTAACCACAAGGTTCGCCCTGATCTATTCCAGTTAGAAGCCACAGGGCTCTTCTCTCACTTTCGTGAACCCCAACTCCCTGGTGCTTTCTCCTCTGGAAGTTATTCTAACTGAAATAACATTTTTTTGAACAGAGAGAATTCTCTCGCTGGGCTTGGGGGTGGGCAGAATGGCATGAAGTGTTGACTAGTCAGAATCCAGATTTGGATCTTTTAAGGAAGTCTGAGAGAAACAGCTGCCACTGCCATGGTCCACCATGTATTGAAGCATTTACTGTTTCAAATAGACATTTGGATTCCACAAAAGATCCTAAGATATAAATATATAAGAAAAAAGGTCCTCACAGTAAGCTAATGAGAATATGTATTGCCTTGAGTAATTGTGCATGTCAGCAGAAGCAGGTTTGGCTTAATTCTGTGATGGAGCCTTTGCAAGAAGTGTGCTGACAAATGGGATATTGACATAAATGTGATATTCAAAATTAGCCACACAGGATGGTAGGTATGTATGTAGGTAACTCTACCAAATGGACTTGACAGATACTGCATAGATCTTATTAGTGCAGCCCTTATCTGTGTCACATGACCATACATGTTTGTGCTTCTTAGGCTCATCTACCTGTGCAAACACACATGCACACATGGCTGTTTGGGTTGGGCTTATCATTTACTGGGCAAGTGGAGTGCAGTTGAAGAGTTAACTGTGGAGTTTAAGTCAAATAGTGTTTCTTTGGAAGTCTAAAACACACCCCAAAGAGAAACGTCAGCACCAATATTTTCTCAAGAAGTTCAATATTGCTGTTAATGATCACAGCTGATATTTATAAAGTACCTTTAACATAAGATCTCGCATGAGATGAAAAGTCTGAAAGCTCAATATATAGCCACAGCTTTTTATAGACATTTCAATATTTACTCAAAGCGTGTAAATGATTTACATATTTGCGTTAGGATACCCTCATATTCTCATTTTGATCTTCTGTTAAAAGGTGAGGATTTTATTTAGATTCTGATTATTATATATTATATATATTATAATATATTCTTATTATATATATATGTGTGCAAGAAGTGTGCAAGCACTTCTGGAGGGGGCATGTATGCCAAATTGCCTGAGTGGGGCTCAGAGGACCACTTTGTGGAGTTCATTCTGTTCTATCACAGTGAGATCTGATAGGCATGATGGTCCTACTTTTCTGTATTTCATCTTTTTTCTAAGACACCATGAAAAAGCTTTTCTAGTGAAAAGAAGTCAAATGAGATAAATGTTACAAAACTGGGACAAAACCATATACAATTTCTCATTTCTCTTAGAAACCTTGAAAATATTAATCATCTTACATTTTAAGCTAAGATCATCCATACTAAGAGCAAGAAAAGTAACAAATAGTTATTACTGTATTTAAAATGTCAAGTTCCACATATGTTCAATTGTTTCCTAATAACAGGCATCATCATAAAAGCATCCTGTATCCCTGGGAATAACAAGCAGTGAAATTAGCTGAATTTGGGTTTTACAAGGGTCATTAGTAGTTCTTATTATACAAAAATGGATAAATAGATGAAGGATACTGAAATTTCATATTGTTCATTAACAAATAAAGCTTCTTTGAACAGGTATTATCAATGAAAACAAGGACAGAGCTGAGAAAACAACTGATCACTTCTGACCTTGTAGCTTTCAGAACATGATTGTATGGATCACATGGAATAATTTTTCATCTCCTGTCTCTGATATAGTATATATTGCACAATTGAACCTATAGTTTTCCCTCTGAAAAGTAAAATGATAGTATTATTTATATAAAAACATTGACAGTTAATGCAAAGTTCAACATAAAATGTCTAGAAACCAAATGAGATGTCATAATAGTCATCATCATCTCGGTTCATAATTTGGCTATAGATAAATACTTTTACCTCATTGTGAAATCACAAAATTTAAAAAAAAATTAGACATGTCATTAAAAAAAGAGAAATCTTTATTTTAGTCCAATTGTATTCATCCATAAGGAACCTTTGTCCAAATTACTTCATTATTTCAGATTCTATTTTCTGCATGTCTGGTACACCAAATTGCTAACACAGAGATTATGATCTTTATCATGGCATATATGTAGCTACTCTGAGGCTAGATTTTCTTGTGCTGTTTTATTTTGTTGATTTTTACCCTTTTTGTCTCTTGTTGGTCAGACAACTGGTGTGGGAAGTCCTTCTGTATATATGTTGCTTTTATTAATGAATAAAGAAGCTGCTTTGGGGTCCACAAGGCAGAATAGAGCAAGATGGAGTGGGGCTGGTGGGGGTGAGACTAAACTGAATGCTGGGAGAAAGAAGGTGGAAACAGTGAGAAGCCATGGAACCAGAGGAGAAAGATTCAGGCCACCAGCCAGAACCTTGTAGGTAGGCCACAAGCCTCGTGATAAAATATAAAATAATAGAAATGGGTTAATTTAAGATATAAGAATGAACTAGAAAAAGGCATAAGCTAAAAGGCCAAGCAGTGTTGTAATTAATATAGTTTCTGAATGATTATTTTGGGCAGCTGGGAAATGCATGAGCAGTCTCTGACTACAGACAACTGTGTTGGCATTGACATTAGGATTGGAAGCCCCATAAAAGAAAGTACTCAATGCATCAAAACCCATCAGTTATGCTATGTAAATAGCTCTAGCATTCTTTAATCTAGAAAGGAAGTTAATGAGAATGAGAGTTTGTCTAATGATGCTGCAATAGTCAATGTTCCATGCTGGGAAGGAGGATTGGTGAATATTGCTCAGTGAATAACATAAATTGTATTCTGAGTAGTAACCTCGATAGGTTGATGCTAATGCAAAGATGAAATACCAATAACCAAGGACAGAATGAGGAATTGCCTGACCGAAGCCACGAAGGGGACCATCTACTCTTCTAAGACATTTTATTCTCAGTGTCTGTCTGTGAATATGTATAATTCAAGAGCACAAATTTTCATTCTGTTTATAATACTCTATGCAATTTTTCCACTTGATAAAAACCTCACAGTTATCATCAGATGAGTATCATGTTTGTAATTTCTTATGGTTTTTGACATAAATGACACCATTTGAGAGTTTTTGTGTTGGCAATAATTATTTTTAGCTTTTAAAATTCTTACCTCTAAGTCATTAAAAAACAAATGCGTATCAGCAAGATTAAAGATCATTTCCTCCATTCGGAGCCCGAGGGTCACAGCCATTGGGGGATCCTGAAAAATGCATACATAATGAGGTAAAATTTCAACAATCATGATGACTAATAAAATACTTTAAGTACATATCATTGAGTAAAATATTAGATGACTTTTTAGTGAGGATTATTAAAACATTGTCCAGAGGTGAAGGAGAAGTTAAGAAACTAGGAAATATACAAAAATATGACAATGTCCTAGTGACTGATAATGTAAAGTAGGGCGACTGTAGTTTACAATATTTATTGCAGTCTTCCACATGGTCAGAATAAAGGATTTCAAATGTTTTTACCCCTAAGAATGACAAATGTTTGAAATGGAAATACCAATCATCAACTTCATCATTACAGAGCACATACATGTATTGAAATTTATGATATACACCCAAATACAATTATGCCATTTGTAATATTTAAATAATTAGGTGTGAGTGTATAAAATGACTTATGAATTACCCACAAACATGAATCTCAAAAGATATATCTGGTAATTCACATAAATTTATATGAGCAAATAGACTAAGAACATATTACAATAGAAATTTATACACCAAATCAGTATATTCATAATTGAAACATGAAAGCAACTACTTTAGATGACTTTTTTGCATACATGCTATGTATAACTTTCGGAAAACATATTTGGATGAGTGCTGAAGAGCAGAGAAAACATAATAAACATTTGAAAGGATACTCAGTACTATACAGATTAAATGGGTTATATTTAGAATATATATGCATATGTATGCAATACCAACTAGTGAAAAAAGAGGAACTGAACTGAAGAGTGGGGAGAGGTACAGGGAGGATTTGGAAAGAGGAGAGGAAAGCAGAAAGGGAGCTTAGGGACAGGTGAATAGTCCTTCACACGGTGTGTTGAAATGATGGCAGGTGGAAGAAAAGCTAAAGAATTACTACAGGTGTGACTACAGAGATGCAGAAAGTAAAAAAGATGATTCCTTTGAGTGGAAGGCTAGCTGGATATTTCAGAGGGAAGACAATGGTTTTGCATAGAGCTGAGAAGTCTAGAAGAACACTGTTGGTTTTGGCTGAGAAGTTATTTGGGAAGTCCTCAGAGTATGATTTGGCTCGTGTGGCTGGGCCATGAAACAGACTGCAGGAATTTGGGAACAGAGAACTGAAATTGGGATTTTAACATTTTAATGAGTGGCATTTTAAGAACTGTATTAAACTTGGAGACATGTGTGGCTAGCTTTACTTCAATTGCAGATAAGAACACTCCATCCACTTCAGGCCCAGTGACATTCAATTACACCTCTTGTCTACAACATTTGCCAGTAGATACCCCTCCACAGCACCAATCAGCTTTTTTCCTACATCTATGTTCATAGTGTTTTGTGAAGGAAACAATAGAGTATAACCATATTTCAAATATCTCACCCATATTCTGTTGCCTTGGAAATATGTGGAGAATGGGAGGGTCAGTTTAATAAATAGGAATTGAATGCTAATGGAATGTGGAAGCATAAAGAACAAACTTAAGGCTTGATGTAGAAGAAGACGAGGTTAAGGCAGGAATAATGTGTAAGAGTCAACCATATGTTATTACTTTCGTCTTCTCAGCAGGCAGTTTTATGGATCTCTTAAAGATTACTGACAAAAGCCTATGTAAATTGCTCATATCCTGGATCATGTCCTTTGGTGACTTAGACTTGGGTTCTACTCCCACATTGATCTGCTGTCAGTGACACCTTACCTGGATCAATATACACAAAGACACCCAAATCAAAAATGTGGGATGATGACGGTATGGCAGTGTTGTACACTGATACAGAATATACATATGAGTTCTGGAAGGATCAACGTATCTATAATAGAACTCAATACAAATCAAAGATCAAATTGTTTTGTCTAACAAATACTCATTCAAATGTAGAAAATATATGTTGTGTATGCAAAACTTTTAAATTTTATGGTTTTTTTTTTTAGCTCAGGCTATTTTAAAACTCAGAAGAACCCCTGACTGACTGTGTTTCCCTCCATTATATGACTCTCTTTGTTGTTGTTCATATCCTTTATTGCTATTGAAAGAACTCTCTGAAGCTTGAATAATTTTTTAACTACACATTTTGTCTTTTTCTGTTAAAAATTGTTCCCGCTAATCCTCTCTTTTGGAAGGAATGGAGTGGGTCTTAATTAGCACAAGGTTATAGAAGACGTCTCAATATTCTGCTAAGTCATGGACCCGTGAACAAAAAGTCTACAGAAATATCAGGAAAATCAAATGTAATTACAGTATGAAAACATATAATTCCATTAGTGACGCTCCCTGCTTTTGAGGAATGTCCATGATGCAAGACAGTAGAAGGAGCCTCACGGAGCTCTGATGATTTCTTCCCTAAAGATATCCATTTCAGATGGGGGTACAAAAACATCTTGCTTCTTAAAGTTTTTCTGTTGGAGGCTAGCTTAGTGAAACTTTTATCCCAACTGGTATCTGTTTCCCTTTTTAAGTTTTCAATAAAATTATTGGCTATCTCATGTTCATTCCTTACATTCTTTGCCTTTACAAATCTGATTGAAGGGAAGATGGGAGAAAACCTAGTGGCCCTGTGATTGTTACTTTGATTGATAACATGCTTCCAAACTGCATCCTACTCTGTGCTATCCAACAGGGATAGAAAAATCCACAAAGAATGCATTCTCTGTGTGTCCGATAAGCACACATGAAAATACATTTTTAAAATAAATGGCTCTTCTGGTAATGAGGCACAGCATGTGGTGATGAAAGCTGTCTGTGAGCACACCACTGGAGTCAACCAGATGGCACTCCGAGGGCTAAGCACTTGTTTTGCAAGCTGTGGTGTCTGTACATCACATACCCTACTACAGCCAGCATGCAATAAGTATTCTGGCAAAAATTTCATTTCTTAACTAGAAAAGTTTAGAGTTGGCTTTGGTCAGAGTGCGAGCTGGTTAAATTTGACTAAGGTTTCCAGAGAGCAAGCCCATTGAAAGAGAGGTGTTTGGTCATCTATGCCACAAGACAAGGAAAACGAAGTTAAAAGGTGGAGATCTTGCTGCCCAGAGGCTGTTGGGGGAAAGCTTCCATGCAAATATAGAATTTTATCCACGTCTTCCAGGTAAGTAAAGTCCCTGAAACAGCTAATTTTAAGGAAGCAGATTACAGCGTCACATTTTTCCAGTTGAAGGATTTATAGATCTCAGATTAGAAAATGACGACTGTGTGTCTGGTGGGCAACACCTTCCCAGAGTTTGGTCATCGTGGGCACCCGTGGCTGGGAAGAAGCCACCAAGGGCTGCAGTTCCACCACTTTGTCAAGCATTTGAGAGTGAGACATGTTTCTGGAGAGAATCCATGATTTATACTAAAATGCCTGCTCCTTTCCATAGATGTTTACAGATGAATCTGGGTTTGCTGCATTTTTTCCACGTAGCTGTGGTGAGTGTTGAATTCAGAACTGAAAATGAAGCGATAGCAAAAACTTGGACAGAGTCAAAAGGTGGGAAAAATAAAGGCACAGTTGGGGGCTGTACGATTGTCCTGATACATATTACACATATAAAAGAGTTCTGAAAGATTAAGCGTGTCTCCAACAGAGTTCAACACGGGGCAAATGGAACTTCTGCCAATTTATCCCGTATACTGCTCTATCAAAACATTGAAATGATTCCCAAGACACTTAGTTGGAAAGAGTAAAAGGGAAAGAGAGAGAGAGAGAGAGAGAGAGAGAGAGAGAGAGAGAGAGAGAGGAAGAGGAAGGAAAAGAAGATGAAAATAAATAGTACTTGGCCTTGAAATGTGCGCCTCTAAGCCAGATGTTACCAGTGTATATACCCAAGTTAGGATCAAGTAGAGCACTTCTCTAAATCAAAATACTAATGCCTATTAGCCATGTTAGCACAGAACATAAATTGGAGCCAGACTGTCTGTCTGTGGGTGTCTGCCCTGCATTGGGCCATAGCTGCAATTCCTCCTCTAGGGAAACACTGTAAAAATATCTCAGGAGAGGCAGCAATTATGTATTTTTAAAGAAATGGAGGACTATTTTTCTTTTAAGATCCTGGGATCTTAGACCAGTTATTCCTTTGGGATGTAAAGCACATTTGTAGAATTTTACACAAGGGACAGAAGATACCTGAGGACAATGAAAAGGAAGATAAGCTAGCTCCATGAGTCAAGGTAGGACTTGTTTCTGGGATCCCTAGATGCAACGATTCTTGTAATTAGACATAAGATAGGAAATAAAATCCAGTCATTAACCAGAGAGAAAACTCTGTATTTGACTTATTTGTCTGAGAAGTAGGTAGTAAACTTCAGAGTTCCTAAAGGAAAGCCTGGGTCTGTGGGTCTGCTCAAGTGCTTGCCTAGTATCTATGAGATCTTTGGTTCAATTTTCAGTATTGAAAGGAACGAGAAGGAAGAGGAAGAGGAGGAGGAAGGAAGAAGGAAGAAGGAAGAGGAAGAAGAAGAAGAAGAAGAAGAAGAAGAAGAAGAAGAAGAAGAAGAAGAAGAAGAAGAAGAAGAAGAAGAAGAAGGTCTTTAGGAACATTAGAAATATTAGAGCATGTCTTTAGGAACATTCCCTTATTGATCATATGTTCATATTGTCATATGGCTTTGAGTGCCTACTACTTGCTCAAATTCTGACAAGGGAGAAGTAAAACAAAATCAACAAAATAAAAGGCAGGAAAGATGACTCAGATGGTAAAGTGCTTTCTATGAAAGCATGAGGACCTGAGTTCAGATCCCTAACATCCACAGGAATATTTTGGCTTGCAGTTATAACTTCATTGCTAGGGAGGTGAGACCAAAAGATTCCTGGAGCTCAGTAGTTGAATCACTGAGCTCCAGGTTCCAGGAGAGACTCTGAAATGGGGAAAAGGGTGTATGTGCTTTAATTTGGGAGAAGGCAGGGACATCAATATAGAAGGAAAGGGAGGAAGGAAGGAGAGATAAATCACACTAAAGATGTCTGGAAAAGCTATAGGGAACCATATTATATTTAACTAAAGTTACATATAATGTATAAGATG